AGGGAAGTGGTTGAGTCTCCATCCCTGGAGGTATTTAAAAGATGGGTAGACGTGGGGTTTTTGGGCATGGTTTAGTGGTGGACTTGGCAGTGATAGGTTAACAGTTGGACTCGATGATCTTAAGGGTCTTTTCCAACTTTAACGATTCTATGATTCTATGATGCTCTCAGTGTGAGTCTGGAGGGTTAGGGCATGTGTACGGAGCCAGTGAACTTGCCTGCAGCATAACTGTGCAAGAAAAGACCTAAGCAGCCTTCAGGGTGCATCTCCCAGGGACTTCTGCCCAAAAGATGGAGACGACAGAGGGAAGAGCACCGTGGTCATCAGGAACATGGTGCTACCAGCCAGCAGAGCACAGGACGGGGATCCTAGGCCAGAAACAGCCATACTGTGCCAGTGGGATGCTGAGCACAAGCCAGCGGGACCTGCCAGGAGGAGCGGCACTGGACTGACATGATGTTGGGGTAATTCTGGCTGGATCTCCACACTCTTCTTTTTTGCACAGTACAGATGGGTGCAGCCCGATGGACTGGCAGGAGGGAGGAGACAGAGAGGTTCTCTGGGCAGAAGTAACACATTGGTGAGCAGGAAGGTGAGGAGGCATGAGGCCAGGTGGTGGAGGCAGGCTAAGCAGACTCTGTTCAATTGCTAGATGGTTTTGGGGTCACCTCCACTGGAAAAGTCACAGAAGATTCCAGTCTGCAGGTTACTAAACTCAGCCTGGCCACTCTCCCGCATGCTTGAGCCCTGCTGGGACCCTGGGGACTTGGCTGGTCCCCACTGGACATGGTAGCTCTCTGCAATCCTGTAGGACGCTGATTACTGATCACTTAAAACACTAATGCTCCTTCAACTTGTCCTGATGAGCGAGCTGTGGCGGAAGGAGGTGCAGGAGTAGACATTTCGTGGACCACTCAGTGTAAAGTTGTCCTGGCTACCTTGCCCTAAACACTCAGAAAATGAGTGGTACGCGAGTCTTGCAGTATGTAACGTGTTGGGGTGAGAGAGCCAGAGCATGGAGGAGTGACTAACTCAGACCTAGGTTTCACGGTTGAAAAAGGAGTCTGGCCTTACTGACCCTACGGTTTTTACAAGCTGCCAGCTCCACATGCTGTATCCTGAGTAGTGGGGCTGCCAAGGCTGGGATCTCCGTCCTCTCGGGGCTGTTGGGCACATGCTGGGTGGCAGGAGCAGGTGTCATGCTGGCCAGCACCAGCCTTTGCTGCTTCAAGCTCTTTGGAAAACTGTGAGCGTCATAAGGAAAGGATCCAGGTCCAGCCGTGTACACGGTGTGTCCAGCCCCAGTGGCAGGACTGGCATTCAGCATGCCCGTGTCACCCTGGCTGAGATTTGAAGTGCCAGGGGAGACAGGAGTCAGCATTGGAGGCTGGTCCCCAAAGCTAGTCCTTCATCCCCATGTGTGCAGGCGCAGGTCCCTGTGTGCCACGGATGCCATGCTTTGTGCCGACCCATTACTTTACCCTGCAGAGTCAAGGAGCGGGAGGCCGGTTTGGCAGTGAGCCGGGGCTGTAATGGTGCAGATGGCTGCTGAGAGAGGACGGTGTATTCCTCAGGGACCATCCATTATGTTTCCCAACTCCTGCCTGTCAGGGAGGCTATGCTCGTGGCTATGTTTTTCCTTGCTGAGATGACTTGCCTTTCAGGCTGCTTAATGAACTGCTTCAACAGTTCAAACTGCCTTGCCTTGCTTGTTGGAGTAGCAGTATGGTGCAGGGTCTTTTCCAAGCATCAGAAAGGTGTGAAATGCAGCAGCAGGATTTTCCTGGGTAAAGGCAGTGGGGAGACCTTGGGACCGACACTGATATGAACCTCAGATATGCTGTCCCCAGCATAGTGGGGCTCAGGGATAGGCAAGTTGCAGCCTGTCTAGAAGAGCTCTCCTTGGCTTCTCGAGGCTGGAGTGTCTCCAGAGAGGCCCTCTGGAGCTTTTCTTATACTCCAGTTGGCCTGAACTTTCCCCAAGCTTCAGTCATTAGCCTCAGCTGAGGATTCAGGTTTGGAGCAGCACTAATGCCCAGGAAGCTGGTGCTGGCACCGGGGAGGGGGAAGGTTTGTGAGGAGACCTACGAGGATGGCAACAGAAGAGCAGCGGGTGAGTAACACCCACTCTGGGTGCTGGAGCCCGAAGCAGCACTTCACCTTTCCTTTTGGAGGAAGACATGGTGCTTAGATGTGGCAAGTGCACAGGCTTGGCACTGTATTGGCAGGCACGGACGACGCTCAGGGCAGTGCCCTTGTCAGGTTTGGATCTGGGCCCTCTGGGTGTTGTCTCCTCTGTTTCCCAGACATTCCCAGGACAAATTCAAACCATCCTTCCTGTGGGATCCCTGTCTGGGTGCAAAGCCATGGGATGGCATTGCCTCAGCTCCATCCTTGCGGGGCAGGGTGCCACTCACCCATCCATCTGACACCAAAGCACCTCACCACCCCCCGGCAGCACCCCGGCACAGCCAGCTCAGCATTCCAGGCTCATCAGGAACACTGCGCTAACGCAAGACGACAGGGCCTGCAGCGGTGGGCACACGACGAACGAGGGCGCAGGCCAGCGGGGCCTGTCACTCTGCATCCCGTCGCCAGCTGCTGAGCAGTGGCCGTGAGATATGCAGCAGCAGGGCATGTTTCTCATGAAGCTGCGCACAAGGTCAGTGTCAGGAGGGGCGCTGGGTGGCTGTGGTTGTCTCAGGATAGCTGCTCTCCCAAATGCTCTCTCCCCCTTGGATGGATGGGGGGTTTCTGACAAATGCTTTGGGCACAGTTGACTTTCTGCTGGGAAAAAGGTTGCTTTTTTCCTGGCTGAAAAAGTTCAAGGACAGGCACTAGAGGTGTCCCGATGCCCCAGGGACCTACCCCTCCCACCAGTCGCAGGGCTGCCAGCAACTCTTGGGGCAGGGGCGCGCGGCTGTGGGGTGCTGCAGGTTAGGGGGAAGGTTTGCAAAGGGTCCCAGTCCCCATTTTCGGTTGTGTCTGAGCTGCGCTCCTGCCTGCCAGCTGGACCTGGCATCCCCCATGCTGCAGGTGACAGCCACATGCTCCTGCTCTGGCTGTGGAGTGGGTGGTGGCAGCTGGCAGATGGAGGGACATCCTTATCTCTCTGCGGGATCACGCCGGATTGGGGGGGTGCACAGAGCCGCTCCCTGTGCCTGGGGCAATGCCAGGCTGGGCCCTGGGGAAAGTGGTGCAGGCACCCGGTGAGGTGAGGGCTCCATCCGCAAAGAGTGCTGAGACTCAGCCAAAGACAGGGCCGGTCTGACCCCGAGCAGGTCTCCTCAAGGTGCCTCTCCCTGCATCTAAATCCTGCTCGTCCCTGTTGAGGTCTGGGTGTGCCCTTGTGTCAGTTGGCGCTGCTCCCTCCCCGGCTCCCAGGTGTCACTGGAGACATGCCCTCCTGGGGACAAGCCATTGGACACTCCTCTCACACCATCCCTAGGCCACCAGCTCTGTCTTGGCACTTTTAACCCCTTCGCTGAGGCCAACCTAATGCCATTTGATGGGAACAGAGGCTGTGAGCCCAGTGCGAATTGCCTGGCTCTGTGTGCCAGGCCAGTCGGAATGCGGGGCTCCCTCAGGCCCCCAGACTTCTGCCTCTGCTCCTGTGGGATGCGGGGCAGCTCTGTGCCGCTGCCCTGCAAGGGCAAGGAGACACTCAGACCAGTGTGAGCTTAAAAAAATAGGCATTTTTATTCCAATGTAACTAGAGAATTACAACCCAAGAGAGGAGAGGATTACTCACATTTATCGATAGGCTTATTAGATTACTGCCTAAATAGCTGTGCTTTAGCAGCGCGTTTGTCCGCCTCAAGGAGAAGCAGCGAAGGATGGTGGTGCATCTGAGACCTCATCGTCCTTGATGGCATGGGGAGCTCTGAGCAATGCGGGCCGGGGCGCTGTATCACATCACCTAATCCTGTCTTGACTATTTACAGCTTCTCGGGAGGCAAAAGCTTGTAATGTTTGCTTGGCTGTGTGGCTGGTCAGGTGCTGAGCATCCCTCCTGCGTGGCCACATTCAGGGAGGGGGCGTGTACCCCTCCTTGCAATGGGGTTATGCTCCCCCCCCCGCTCCCGGCCATGGCATCATGCTGATGGGGACCAGCATGGGCTGGGAAAGGATGGTGGCACTGCCATTCCTGGGAGCCCTGGCATGAACGAGGACAGTGCCCCACTCGTCACGGCTATTCCTTGACCTGGGAGGTCCATGGCAGTGGCATCAGGTTGGGTCTCGCATGCCTGGGGATGTGGCAGACCACCAGCCCCAGTGTCACCATTAGGGAGTTTGGCTGCCTGAATGAAGTGGGGGCTTTTCAGGCGTGCCAGGTTCATCAGCATTACCCTTCTGCTAACGAGCAGCAGCTTGCACAAGCAGCTCTTGCTGGGTGCCAATGTGCCCCCGGCTCAAAACCCACCAGGGGCTCATGACTGAAGCACTTGCAGGTGATGCCAATCACCCTCGCAGGTCGCAGTCAAGCTGGGAATTCAGTGTGCCCGATAATCCTGCTTCTAGCAGTGATGGCAGAGAACAGCTCTCAGGAGGCCCTGGCTCTCCTCGCAGCTGTCTCCCTCCTGCCCTGCTATGACACGATGGGGGTGTCCGAAAAGACGGAGCTGATGGACTCCGAGTCCGACTTGAGCTGCAAGACCTTGGGGTGCTTGGCGTCAGGGAAGTCCTCGCCGAGGGCCAAGCGGATCTTGCCATTCTGCGTCTCCCTGATGGGCTCGAGGAAGACCACGTGCTTGTTGGCACTGACTTTGCGGTTTGGCCCATCGGTGGTGGGGGGAGTGGTGCTGAGGATGGAGGACTGGGCGCTGCACTCCTGCGGAGGGCTGAGAGGAGCCGGCTTCTTGCAGCACCTCAAGCAGCGGCAGGGCGTGAGGTACAAGTAAATAAGCACGAGCAGGAGGCTCACGATACACCCCAGCAGGGTCGTGAGGCCAGTGCTGAAGGTCTCTCCATCCGGCTTGGGGTAGTGGACCGTCACATTGACTTCACACAGCCTGCTGAAATTGTGGGGGCTGTTGATGGCCAAGCCCACGTAGACCCCTGAGTGCCAGGGCTTGGCCACTGCAATCTTCAGGCTGCCATTGCGGTAGACCTCCAAAGAGCGGGTGCCGTTCCCCGGGCGGTTGA